ATACTATATACTATACTACACTGTATACTATCTATATACTATACTATATACTATATACAATCTATATACTAGATACTATACTAATACTATACTGTATACTATGCCATACTACACTATATACAATCTATAGACTTATATACTATATACTAATGCTATACTATATACTATACTACACTATATACTATACTACACTATGTACTATACTATATTATACTGTATACTATACAATAGTCTGGACTATTCTAGGCTATAGTTACATCCTTGAACTTAGTGCAGCTGGTGGATGTTTGACCAGTTGTGATCTTGGTGTTAACAAGTCTGGGCACAGTTGGCCAACTGTTATATACAAGGCTTGGGGATGGGCTTCAAAGGCATAAGAGCTAGTCCCTGACTTTAGGGAGGGAGGAGGTAAGAGCTAAGCAGGCCTAAAGTGCAGCCAGAGTTGGGGCAGACCGTCTGGGACAGGGCTGAGTTGGGCAAGAATGCCCAGGGTTGAGTTCAGTGACCTAGAAGAGGGAGGGATAGTGAAAGAGATTGGTCTTGTTGTTGGGATTGTATATGGGGTCCCTAGGCTATGCTTGGGTTGTGACTGGCTGTGTGAGGTCCCAGCCTATATATTTACAATTTGCCTGGAGAAGTTTTGTTTCTTCTGGGACTACCCCTGGGAACTGGACATTTTGTTGACAAAACAGAGAGAATGAAAATCTCATCACAAACAAACTCTGTTTACTCAAGGTCTTCAGAAAACTTGGCTGCAGGTGCGGTAGGCCCAGACCATATCCCTTGTCTGACCTGGCTAGAGGACAGACAAGCTGATGCAGCACATACATGCTCTCTCTCTCTCTCTCTCTCTCTCTCTCTCACACACACACACACACACACACACACACACACATGCTCACACACTCGTGCGCACTCACACATGCCCATGCCCATGTCCACGTCCCCCCACACACATGCGGGCATGTGTGCGTGTGCACCAATTCTTCCTGCTCTATACAAATACCCAGCTTCCGCAGGCTCGTGCCCACCATAGAATGTATCTATATATTTGTGCTCATGAGCCAGCTTTACAGTATCTCTGAGAGCCCCATGCTGGCAGTCACCCATGCCCTTCTATGCATACCTTTCCCCCAGGACACCCCTAGTTGGTTCTGTTGCTATTACTGTTGGTTTATTTGAGATAGGATCTCATGGATCCCAACCTGGTCTGGAACTCCTTCATGGGGCTGAGGATGACCCCCAACTTCTGATCCTCATGTCTACTCCTCCATCTCTGATCCCAGGATTAGAGGGGTGCATCACCACGCAACCGAAATCAGAGGCATAACCCCTGTTCCTATTTCACTGAGGAGCTGACTAAGGGCTGGTCTAGAGACCCAGGGCTGAGGGCGGCCAGAGATCAATGAGAAAGGGTCATGCTGTCTAAGAGATCATCCTGGTTAGCATCTGTTAGTCTGAGGTCATCCTGACTATGGGCAGAGAAGGCAGAGAAGGCAGGTCACATGCTAAGTCATGAAGGGACCCAGGAACACAACAGAGCTAAGATGCAGATTCTCTGATCTTAGTTGAATGTTTTGTTCCAGTTGTCCTGTCATGGTCACAGCTAGGCCACACACACACACACACACACACACACACACACATTGGGGGTGAGGGAGAGAGGGAGGGAGGGATGGGGGGGTGGGGAGAGGTGAGACCTCCTGGGGGGGATCCCTCCCAGTTTCTCTAGAGGTTGCTGGTCCCTGACATCATCCAGCCTGCCGGATGTGGATAAGCCATTCCCCTTCTTCCCAAATTGTGGTTGACGGTTGCTCAGGCAACCGCCTGGACAGATTGGGGAGATTAGCAGAGGAATGTTGCTGGGCAAGTTGGAACTGGGGCTGGAGGAGCACTGGGGTCCTGTATTGATTCAACCCACCCTCCCTGAGAGCTCTCTGCAGAGATGAGGTACCCAAAGAGGGGCCTTGTCTTCTCCCTCTGTCTCCTGACTGACTGTGCCTCAGAACTTGAGTTGGTCTGGGGAAAGTGTGTGTGTGCTCGCGCATGCGTGCATGCGCATGCTGTTTGTATGCAGGATGATAGCTCAGGTCCCCCTACAACCTGACCTTGTCGCTCTGGGAAAAGCTACCTGCTTGAACTGTCAGAATCCAGGCATTCTTTGCTCTAGCACCTCCTAGGGCTCCCCAGTTCAACATGAGGTTCAACTCCTCACCCTGGCATCTACGGCTTTTTAAGAACTGGCCTCAGCCTCTTGTTTCCCATCCTGTTAGCCAACCTGAGCTCCTCCCTTTGCTGGGGACAAACTGGGTTTTCCTTCTTCCTCCCTTCACTCTGTGGCCCTAGGCTCAGCTCAGAGCCAACTCCTTGTGCCGACAACCCGTTTTGTGCCCTTTAACCTTCACCCTTCTCAGCTTCCATTTCCCCATCTTTGCTCCAAATCATGTATTTGGTCAGGAGTTTAGGAAGCTGCCCAAAGAAAGATAGAACATCTTTCTTTTCCTTCCCGCACCTCCTCCCCGTGTTGTGGATCAAACCTAGGGCCTCACCTATGCTAGGTAAAGCTCCCCTATGACTGAATCACGCCCCCCCCCCCCCCCCCCCCCCCCCCGGATCCCGCCCCCGCCCCGCCCCCAGCCCTGGATCCCGACCCCGCCCCGCCCCCCATCCCTTAGTCATTCTTGTGCCTCTCATGGTGCCCATCACTAATCATCCTGCACCACATTGTCGGGGGAGACAGACGGGCCTTGAGTGTGAAACTATATCAGTCTTACTTTGTCTACTCTCGTTGGGTAAAGACAGGTGATTTAATTTGTGTCTTCTGATCACAGTGGCTGTGTGGCCCCTGGTCATCTCTGAGCATTACACTGAATCCATCTGTATGACAGAAATTACCATGTCACTATGTAAACCCTGAGTCCCTCATGCTGGCTGGGTTTGGTAGTCAGGGCAGACGTGGTGGTAATGGGCGCCCCTAGTGGTGATGATGAAGAACTGGCTGTTCACTGGGAGAGCTGGGGTTGGGGGTGGGGGTGAGATGCTCTCACCTTTGGGAGATGTTGTTCTCTAAGAGATGAAGTTGAACTGGGCCTGGCCCAGAGGCCCAGGTCTGGGGCTGACTAGGGATTAGTGAGAATGGTCACTCTGGCTAAGAGGTCACCCTGGATAATTCGAATCCATGCCTGAGGTCATCCTGACTGTGGTCACGTAGAGAGAACATCTGGTAGAGGGCAGGAGTCAGGGAGTCTGGTGGCCACTGATGTTTGCCTGACGTTTAGGGGATATGAATAAGACTGGGGTCACTCTGGCCAGGCACAGTCAAAAGGGAGCCACTCTGGCTAAGGTCAGTCACCGGGGGAATCATGTATTAGGTCAGGAGGTTAGGTTTCTCTAGTAGAGACCCCAGTCTGACTGTTAGTCTGAGGTCAGTAAGCTCTGGATGGGACGGGAGGCCTGTCCAGTCTTGTGCCTGGTTCAGGGCTGTTGGGAAGAAACCACAGGGCTGGTTACCTCAGGCCTGATAGGGCCCTGGAGGAGATGCCTGGGGCTTCTACTTTGCCTTTGTGTAGGAATTAGAAGGACCTGATTCCAGCCTGGGATCTAAATCTTACTTTTTTCTATAGTCTGCCCCTGTGGTTGGCTGGGACCTCCACGGGCAGGAAGTGCTTCCCTTGCTAGGAAGACCACTCTCTGGCCACCCTTTCTTTCTGTGCCACACTGTGGGCTTTTTGCAAGGGGAGAGCTGGGCCCCTTCCAACAAAGATGACATTAAAACTCACTTACCTCATGCCTCAGGGCACAGCGCTGACTGGAGCTTTTCAGACAAAGAGACACAAAGCACTGTGGGGTTCCCTGCACCAACTCTCTCACTACCCCCTGTCTGCCTGGTGCAGGCTGACACACACATCCCATTGTTTCCCACTCTCTGGTGGCGTTTAAGGAGTTGAGAGACCCCAACAGTGAGGAGCTCAGTCGCGCCTCCCTCTGCCTGTGTGTTATCCTGTGTCGCCTTACCGGGCCGTGGAAACATGCAAACAGGTGAAATGAACACAGTCAGTCCTCAAAGGGAAGGCACTCCCATCCCATCCAGAGCTTACTGACATCACCTGCTGGCTTACAACTGTCCTGCCTTCTTCTTCTTGAGAAGGAGCTCATTCTCCCCTTCTCAGATTGGGGACTGTGAGCTTCCAGTGAGCATGGATTCAAATCCGGTTACTCTTCCTCATCTGGGAACCAGTAGCACACATATTTGCTAGGAATGGCAAATGGCAAAGCCAAGACTGAATCCCAAGTCTGTCCCACGTCTCCAGCGTCCACCACTGAGCTACTGTTGTATTGTACCATGGGCAAAGGCCTCGTTTCTCAGAACCTCGGTCACCTCCTCTGTCAAATTCAGATTATTGATCTTGATCTCCAGTTGCCAGAATTAACATCCTCCAGTCAAACATATTCAATCCACACAGGACCTCACTGTGTCACATCCCTGGGGACAGAGATCGAAGTTGATTGACTTTGGGTCATGGTTGAGTGAATTAATCTCTTTGCTGTCTATCACATTGTGTCACTGGACACAGAAAATGACATTCTGTGTTTGGTGCTTAGCATCATGCTGTGCTAGGCCTCCATTTCCAGGCCTGTAAAATGGGACGAATCTAGTGCTGACCTTGGAAGCTGGTTTGAGGCTGTATGATGCAACAAGAATGATGATTGTTTTTATTAAGGACAGCCTTGATGGATGGTTGAGCTGTTGGGGATCCTGGGAAGCAATGAGAAAGTGGCCAATGTGTGAAGTCTTGGTATTGGGAAGGGACAATGAGGGGAGGGTGTTGGGGTAGAGGAGGGTAGGAGAACTTTGTTAGTCGGAGGGAGCCATGACAAGGAGGAAAGAGGGTAGTCTGAGCTGAAGGTGGGGTCAATGGGGGGAACCTGAAGTGTTGTGTTGGGGTCCTCCTGGTCAGTGGCCTTGCCTGAGCTTAACCAACCAGGCCCTGTCCTCACAGCTGGCTGCACCTTTGAGGAGGCGAGTGACCCGGTCGTGCCCTGCGAGTTCAGCCAGGCTCAGTATGATGACTTCCAGTGGGAGCAAGTGCGGATCCATCCTGGCACCCGGACCCCTGCAGACCTGCCCCACGGTGAGCCTGCCCTCCATCAGTGTTACTTCTCTACTTCCAGTGCTTCTCTAGTTCTTCCCCAGAGTCTCCTGCTTTTCCTGGGATTTGAAGATACCTAGAGGAGGTGACATGGGGTCTCTGGATATACCACTGCCCAGTATATCCCTTGGGATACCCTGGACCCTTCCCAACTTCGACTTAATGATGTACACTTCAACACTAGACTGGGAGTCCGGAGGCTAAATGTGGATTCTAGTACTGGTCTCCTACTCAAATGACGGCCTTGAGAACACTCATTCCAGAATCATGAAGACATTCAAATCCCAGCCCCATCATCTTGCCAGCTCAGTGGCCTCTAGTAAGCTGCTCAACTTCTCTGAGCCTTTGTTGTTTTGACTGTGAAATGGGAGAACAGTGGCCCATAACACAGGGCACAGAGATGACACACACAGGGTGTCAGTTGTATAGTTGCTATTGTTAAAGATACTTGAGAGTGCCTAGCAACTAGTAGCTCTCCTCACTGGGGACAGAATCAACTGAAAATTACGAGAAGAATAGACATGAAGCAAGAGGGTCACAAGTTTGAGGCTAGCCTGGACTACTTGGTAAGATACTGCCCCCAAAATAAAACTGGAAGAAAAAGGAAAAGAGGGCTGAAGAGATGGCTCAGTGATTAAAAACACTAGCTCCCTTTTCAGAGGACCTGGGTTCGAGTACCAGCACCATACAGCAGCTCACAACCAGCTCCAGTTCCAGGGGATCCAATGCCTTCTCATGGCCTCTTAAGAAATTTCACGCATTTGGTATGCAGACATGAAGGCAAAACACCCAAATACATAAAATTTAAAAATATATGTTGTCTTAGTTCGGGTTTTACTGCTGTGAACAGGCACCATGACCAAGGTAATTCTTATACATTTAATTGGTTTACAGGTTCAGAGGTTCAGTCCATTATCTTCAAGGTAGGAGCATGGCAGCATCCAGGCAGGCATAGTGCAAGAGGAGCTGAGAGTTCTACATCTTCATCTGAAGGCTGCTAGCAGAATACTTGCTTCCAGGCAGCTAGGATGAGGGTCTTAAAGCCCACGCTCACAGTGACACACCTACTCCAACAAGGCCACACCTTCTCCAACAGGGCCACACCTTCTAATAGTGCCACTCCCTAGGCCAAGCATATACAAACCATCACAATCGTCTTTTTAAAAGGAAAAAGGATAAGAGAGATCAAGGCCAGATAAGCCAGTTTATTACTGATGAAGTATTATAGGATAGACTGAGGCAACATCAGAACCGAGAGCTAGAGTCTCCCTCCCGTGTCCTGTTATAGAGGTGGCCCAGGGCTTCGGCTGTTCAACTCCCAGCATAGCCAACATGTCATCTGCTGGCAAGAGTGGGCCAGGGCGGTGGCGGTTCTTAGTGGTGGGTGGACTAGCAGCTGTAGGTGAGAGATCTTTTGGGGCTGTCTGGCGCCAGCTGGCCTCTGGAAGCAGACTCAGTTTCCATCATGACCCTCCCTACCTCTCTGGTCATTGCCCATCTGTGTCACTCTGGGTGTGTCTCTTCTCTTCAGGGTTCTCCATCCTTGTATATATTTCAGAGGCATTGCTGTTTAGCTTGTCTGAGGAGGATGCATAAAGGTACCCCCCTGCAGGGTCTCTGTGTGACCTCCGTGCACCCTCAGACCCAGCCCCTCTTTCCAGGTCTTAGGAGGCATTCAGGTATAAGGATCTGGTGTCGATTCATGTTTTCCAGACCTGTGGTCTTTTTCTTCCTTGGTGACTCAGGGAACACCTAGGTCTGGGCGGAGGGGTGAGCTTGGTGGATAGTCAGTCTAGGGGAGTTCAGGTGGACAGGGATGAAGCAAGGAGATTTGCTTTCAGGGGAGAGCAGAAGGAAGAAAAGAGAGCTCTCGGGGTGGAGGGGTACATGTCAGAGCAGGGAGGGCTGCAGGGAACAGAGGAGGGGGCAAGAAGTGTCACACTGGAAGAGGGAGCTACCTTAGGAGCTGGCTAGCAAGTGTCTGGCTAGGATGTGTCCCTTCTAAGATTCTAGTGGGGGATAGGGACCCGGACGTTCATTCCCTACTCCTGCAGGACACAGGCTGCAGCCACCTTCACAGGGCTCCAGGCTCACAGAGATGAATGAGATCCCTTTAGCTGAGTCCCTGGGGAGCCCTCCTGAGCAGGCTCAGAATGTGCAGTCAGCCAAGTCTGGGAGGAGGCAGTGCCTGTGGGTGCTGTGCAAGGGTGGCTTTGGGCATCTTCTTGGCGTCTGCATCCCCCTCACTCCAAGAGAAGTCATAATCCCCAGCCAAGGTCTGAGACATTCCCCGCCATCCCCATCACACATTGAGGGTCTTCTGATTGGAACCTGTGGTGTTTGTGTGGGAATCCGGTGTGGGTGGGAAGGGAAGTTAATCCTTTCATTCAGTCTGTCCTACATATTCATCAAGCTTGGGCTCTGGAGCCTGTGTGTGAGGACACAGCAAAGGCCTGAGGCATGACAGGCTGGTAGCAAGGCTGTCACAGGCTCTATGAATGATCAGAGCCAGAGGCAAGCACACGGTGTGGTGTGGGGTTGGGGGTTGGGGTGGGGGACTGTGTGACACTTTGGAATCAGTGTCCTCAGGGGACTGGCCCTGTGATGTATGACCTAACACGGGGCTAAGGAAAGTGGTGACTTTTGGATGGTGAAGGGCTGCATGAATTTTTTGACAAGGTTGAGTTGTGTTTTTTTCCTTCCTAGTCCTCTTCTTTGGGAAACAGACCCTGGTGGAGGGGAGGGACCTGCCCCATTCGAGAACTTAAGAGCCCAAACTTTTGCTTGATTCCTGGTGGCAGCTTTGTTTCTGTCCTGTCTGAGCATGACCTTGGCTTCCCCTAAGGTCTCCTTGCTTCCTGCCTCTTCCTTTTCTCTCTCCAGGTGCCTACTTGATGGTCAACGCTTCCCAGCATGCTCCAGGCCAGAGGGCACATATCATCTTCCAGACCCTGAGTGAGAACGACACCCATTGTGTGCAGTTCAGCTACTTCCTGTATAGCAGGGATGGCCACAGCCCAGGCACCCTGGGTGTCTATGTGCGCGTGAATGGGGGCCCTCTGGGCAGTGCCGTGTGGAATATGACTGGATCCCACGGCCGTCAGTGGCACCAGGCTGAGTTGGCTGTCAGCACCTTCTGGCCCAATGAGTATCAGGTGGGCTGGGTTTAGTCATCGGTCAGCTTGCTTGGGCTTGGAGGTAAGGGCAGGGGCAGGCCACCCTGACACCAGGTTAGGCTGGGATTGATAGCTGTTCGGCATCAGGAGTGAATCTGGGGTTGAGTTTGGAGTTAGTCTGGGGTCAGTGTGAGTACAGAGTCAAAGGCCTGAACAATGTTGAGTTGGAACAGGACACAACTGGAAATTCTGTCTGACTAGAAGAATTCTGCTGCTTTGAGGAAGTTGTCACAGTTGGGATGAAACTTCTAGCCTTGACCCTGACTTTACTTTCTCTGCCCACAGCCCTGAACCAGTCGGCTTGATAGTGAGGGTCTGTGTGAGCTGGGTTGGCATTGGATGGAGGAGAGAGGCGGGCTGGGGCCAAGCTGGGCTGGAGGGACGTCACCTTGACAATTGGCCTCCCATTCCCGCAGGTGCTGTTTGAGGCCCTTATCTCCCCAGACCACAAGGGCTACATAGGCTTAGACGACATCTTGCTATTCAGCTATCCGTGCGGTGAGCCCCAGTCCACTCGACCATAGGGATGAGGGTAGCCTTGGCTCCTGCCTGCAGGGCACGCAGGCCCAGCTCATGCTGGGGTTCTGCCTGTTTTCCCACAGCAAAGGCCCCTCACTTCTCCCGCCTTGGAGACGTGGAGGTCAACGCGGGCCAGAATGCATCCTTCCAGTGCATGGCAGCGGGCAGAGCTGCAGAGGCGGAACGCTTCTTCCTGCAGGTGAGGGTGGCCCACAGAGACTTGGCTCAGGAAGGTAGAGGAGGCCTTGGTTCCCTTCTGGGGTTTGGAGTCCTCCCTTCATACACCAGCATCTATATACACTGTGTCTTGCCTCCCCCAGGCTGTGCCCTGCCAGCTTGGATCCCCCTAACCCCAGGATGGGCCAGCATTTTCCAGCATCCTCAAATGCCCCTGGGAAAGTAGGGACTCACATACAGTGCCAGGGTGGAATGCTTCCTGACTCTCCCATCCCTTTTTCTCTTCAGCGGCAGAGTGGGATGCTGGTGCCTGCGGCCGGGGTGAGGCACATCAGCCACCGGCGCTTCCTGGCCACTTTTCCACTGGCCTCGGTAGGCCGCGCAGAGCAGGATCTGTACCGTTGCGTGTCCCAGGCCCCGCGTGGTGCTGGAGTCTCCAACTTCGCAGAGCTCATCGTCAAAGGTCAGTGGATTGGCCTTGAGGAAGGCTGGACGGGTGGGGACAGGATAGGGCGGAGTTCGTAGAGTTGTGCATGGAGCTAGCTCCTTAGAGGACTTGGTGGGGTTCCCAGGGCAGATTTAGCCGAATGCTTGGTAGCAGCTTGAGGGACCTGGGAGGACAGAGAGGGTCTCATGATGGGGGTGGAATAGGTTGCAGAGTTAGTTTCTAGCTGTGACCTGAACAGTGTGGTCGAGTTGGGGAATAGGCTGACCGCATGAGAGGAGGACACGGAGCGGGACTGAATCTCCATGCGCCTTCCAGGTGCTAACCCAGCGAGTGTGCCGGGGGTCCCCCAGGCCTAAGCTTGGGAGTTCGGAGTGGGCGTGGCTAAGTTATGGCGTTCTAGGGCCACATGGTGGCATTAGTAGGCTCCTCCTCTTCTGCATATCCTCGCAGAGCCCCCCACCCCCATCGCGCCCCCACAGCTGCTGCGTGCAGGCCCCACCTACCTCATCATCCAGCTCAACACCAACTCCATCATTGGCGACGGGCCGATCGTGCGCAAAGAGATCGAGTACCGCATGGCACGGGGCCCGTGGGCCGAGGTGCACGCTGTCAACCTGCAGACCTACAAACTGTGGCATCTGGACCCGGACACTGAGTATGAGATCAGCGTGCTGCTCACGCGCCCGGGAGATGGAGGCACAGGCCGCCCGGGGCCACCACTGATCAGCCGGACCAAGTGCGCAGGTGGGCTGCGGGAAGGCACTCTTCCGCTGAGGCAGCAGGGCCTTCTGACACATACACATTTATTGACACATATAGAAAATAGCCTGGGCTATTTCTCCGTAGCTTGTCTCAAAAAATAAAGCAAGATAAACAAAAAAGAGAAAGAAAAAGACAATACCACTCCCCGCCCCGACACAACCAAACCAAACCTAAAAGGCAGACCAAGAAAACAAACCAGGACACTTACCAGAGCCCTGTGATAGGTTGTTCTCATACCTATATCACAGATGAGGTGATTGAGACAGAGATGTTAGGTGACTGGGCAAAGAACACACCGCCAGTAAGGGGCAGAGATGGGACCAGAACTCTTAATTGGCTAGGTGCAGATTCTTAAACACTATCAATTCAAAATGTTGTGTGACGGATTTTGTTTGGGTTCCCTGGGCCGGGCACTGAGTGGGAAGTCAGTTCTTCCTTGTTTAGGAGGATAAAGTAGCAATCGCTAAGGACCCCTGATGCACCTGGACCCAGAAGACTAATAAGAGAAATGGGCAGGTTTCTCTGTGATATCAGTGTGCTGTTGTTCTGAAGTTTTCTTAGTGATAAGCCTCCATGTAGATTCAGGTGCTGTTGTAAGAACACAGGTCCTCCTCACTCTGTCATGTTTTCCACAGTAGTTCTATTTTAGATAACTATGGTTTAATTTTACAATAAAGAGTGACATCTGAGGCTGGCAAGATGGCTCAGTAGGTAAAAGGTGCTTGCTGTCAACCCTGACGGCATAGAGACTCACAGGATAGAAGGCGAGAACCCATTCTCATAAGATGTCCTCTGACTTCCAGATGTGTGCTACGGTATGCTTGTGCCCTCTCCCCCCAAGCCAGTTGAAAAATAATATATACAACATAACAAAAATGTGTAACAACAAATTGACATCCATAGACTCCAGAGATATCTTTTTGTTTTTTTTTTTTTTTTGGTTTTTTGGTTTTTTGGTTTTTTCGAGACAGGGTTTCTCTGTGGAGCCCTGGCTGTCCTGGAACTCACTCTGTAGACCAGGCTAGCCTCGAACTCTCGAACTCAGAGATCCGCCTGCCTCTGCCTCCCAAGTGCTGGGATTAAAGGCGTGCGCCACCACCGCCTGGCAGACTCCAGAGATATCTTAACAGACTCCCCCAGTTTCCGGTGTTTGTGTGCCTCTGTATGTGTAATTAGTTTTGAGTAATTTATGGCCTGTGTAGGTGTGTGTATGCAGTGGGAAGCCCAAGCAGTCGGTGTCCCTGTAGACAATGCCCATTGCTGTTTTAGACCACACTCACCTCTCTCTTCCTCCTCCCACCCCTTGGTAACCACAGACCAGGCCTTCATTTCTAGAGTTTTCTCCTCTCTAGAATGTTCCATAAATGACAACATGCAGTATATAACCTTTTTGGAATTGCTTCTATTTTTTTTTTTGTAACGGATTTATTGCAATATGATCCACATTCGTCCATGTCACTCACTAAAGTTCACAGTTTAGAGGCGTTAAGTATCTCTGCCATTGCACAACTATTAATGATTGGTTTTGGAACACGTCATCACTCTTAAGTGGGAACCTTATGTCATTTAACGGTTGCCCAGTTCATCCTAATCCTGAAGTAAACACAAGTCTACTTTTCATCTCTCTTGATTTAGTTTTGTAGGTGTTTTATACAATACAACCATGCATGGTGGTTTATAGTGTTTTTGCTGGTGTGTGTGTGTGTGTGCTGGTAGGATGTGCACTTATGAGCTCAGGTACCTGAGGAGGTCAGAAGAGAGCCCTGGGTCCCCCCCACCCCCAGAGCTGGAGTCACACAGATAGATGTGAATCACCTGACGCAGTTGCTGGGGACTGAACCCCAGGATCTCTCCTAGAGCAGCGATTCCTTTAAATGGCAGAGTCCTCTTCCCTTTCATGGTCCTGATTTGCATTTCTGTAAGTCTAGTGTTGCTGAACATCTTTCCACACATGACGCCACCGCCGCGCTGCTCAGCGGATCGCCTGCTCAGCCTGCTCCTAGCACTGCTCTTTCTTAATGGAATTGCTTTTTTTTCCTATAGAGTTTTGAGAAGTCTTTATGCGTTCTAGATACTAGATGTACCTAGAACGTATTATTAATGCATCAATGGGTTATTGGATTATAATCTGGAGGCGTTTCCCCTAGTAGGGATCGTGTCTCCTCATTGTCTTTACACGGATCGAGAGCAAACATTTTACATTTTGATGAATTTCTGTTTCTCAAATTGCCCAGTGCTTTTGGAGTTAAGCATAAGAGTTCCCTGCCTAGCCCTAGTTGCCAAAAATCTTTTTCTATTTCTTCTTTTATTTTATTTCTAAGAGTGTAACGGTTCCATCTTTACATTCATGGTCTATTTTGAAGAATGTATGATGCTTAAGGTTGAGAGTCAAACGGTTTTTACAATTGATACTACATGTCATTTCATTGGTAAATTTATTTACTTAGTGTTTGTCTATGTGTGGGCATGTGCTCGCCCCCGTGCACGTGTGGAGACTGGAGGATAGCTTACTGGAGTCTGTTCTCTCCTTCCACCGTGAGTCCTGCGGATCGAACTCAAGTTGTCAAGCTTGACAGCAAGCATTTTTTACCTACTGAGCCATCTTGACAGCCTGCAATTCATATTCTTAAGTGTTATTAAAAGCTGATTTGTGGGCCAACAAAAATCTAATGGAATGCCAGACTTTGGGAGAGAGAGAGGTACTTGGTTGGTGGGTCAGTGTCACTGTGGTGATTGCCTTCTAGCTGAGGGGTGTGGGTGGGGTGATGTACCCACTGCGAGCTTCATTCTTCTTGTTTTGTAAGTGGGAACAACATTCATCTCTACCATATGGGGCAGCATAAAGATTCGGGCAACCGGTGTTTACTGAGTGTCTATTATGTGCCAGATAATGTTACAGTTGCTAGGGTTACATGGCTGCACTCTAGACAGAGCCCACCAGCGTTTGAGTCCTCTTAAGACTCTGCAGGGAGCTTGTGTCCTGGCAGAAGGAGGCAGACGATAAATAAATAAACAAGGAATATATAGTCTGTCAGATGGTGATAAGTGCGTGAGGAGGAATAAATCAGGGCGGGGACGGGAGGGGGCGGAGGATTGTTATTTCTAAAAAGCTGAAGGACTGTCTTACTGAGATGGCTCACATTTGAGCAGAGTCATGCAGGAGGTGAGGGGCTGAGCCAGGTGGTGTGTTCTAGCGGTACAGCTAGGGAGGAAACAGTCCAGACAGGCAGACCTTTGAGTGCCAAGGCCCGGAGGCGTGGGGAGACCTGTGAGAGAAGACGTATAAACAGGGCTTGGGATGTCAGAGTCACCGGGCGAGTGAGCAAGGTCGGAGAGCTGGGTTGGGGAGCAAGATTGAGCATGTGCAACTGGTGGGCCAAGGAGTGAGCATGCGCAACTGGCGGTCAGGCCTGCTCTGGAGATTTCACGGAGGATTGACTGTAGGAAGGTGTACTGGCTAGTGTTTTCTTAGCTGGACACAAACAGGGCATCCAGAAGAGGGATCATGAATGGAGGAAGTGCTTACATCAGATTGTCCTGTAAGCATATCGGTGGGCATTTTCTTGGTTAATGATTGATATGGGAGGGCCTCGCCCACTGTGGGTGGCCTTGAGGCAGGAGAACTTAGGTTTTATAAGAAAGCAGGCTAAGCAATGTGTGAAAGAGAGAGAAAGAGAGAGGGAGGGGGAGAGGGAGAGGGAGAATGAAGGAGGGGAGGGGAGGGGAGGGGAGGAGAGAGGAGAGAAGGGAAGAGGGAAGGAGAGGAGAGAGATCTCTGTGGTCTCTGCTCTGCTTCCGTTCCTGCCTTGAGCTCTTGCCCTGGATGATGGACCATGGTGTGGAAGTGTAAGCCAAATAAACCAAGTACATATTTTCTTCCCCAAGCTGCTTTGGTCATGTTGTTTATCATAGCAACAGAGAGCCAAACTGTGACAGAGGGCAAAGGTTCCTGAAGGAGACACACAGGAAGCGCCCGCAGTTATTGCAGCCAGAGACAGGAGCCAGGAGCCCAGTGGAAGTGACCAGGATGACAGCGAGGACGACAAGCTGCTCCGCTTGGGGGGTTCTGAAGTCAGCGGCATCTGCTGACAGATCTGCTAAGGGATGAAGAAGAAAGAAATAGAGGGGGCCCAGGATGCTCCAAGGTGTTTAGCTTGAGTAACTGGATGGATGGAGCTGTCACATACTGCAAAGGAGCCCGCAGCAGCGGAGCTGGGGGTGGGGAGCTGACCTGGGGAGTGTCATAGATCAGGTGCCTTGCACACAATGATGTGAGATACCATTCAATGTGCCAGTGGCTATCACTACCAGGCAGCTGGATGGATGATGGAGGGGCTGAGGGAAGGGTGCTGGCTGCTGGCACGAATCCGAAAGTTGTCAGTACAGAGAGGGTGTTGGTGTTGATGGCATTTAAAGCCACGTGGCAGGATTCCATCTCTCTCGTCAGTGTTCTCAATGGGGGTGATTCGCTCTCCCAGGAGAGTTTGGTGGTGTCTGGAGACATGCTGCCTGCCATACTGGCTACTGGTGATGGGTGCTACTAGCATGAAGAGGTAGAGGCCAGGGACAGCTGTCCAGGGACAGTATCTGATCTAAAGTGTTAGTACTGTTGAGGTTGAAAGGCCCGTTTAGATTTTTGGGGAGTGTAAATGAGGAGATGGACTTGGGAGCTGATCCTTGGGTCCTGCTGGGTTTGGGTTAATTTGGGCGGAGGTAGGGGAGTGCATTACATACGTGTGAAGTAGCATGCCTGGCACACCACAGGCACTCCAGAAGTGACAGCCGTCATCAATATGGTGTGCTTCATGTTTCAAAGGCATTTTTGATTTGCCACTTAGAAGAAAAGAAATCAGGGCTTGAGGCCCATGGAAAATCGCTGTTGCATTCCCCTGAGTGTGTGTAGGGGTGGGGATGAGACCTGCTTGCAATCAGACAGCAGGTCAAGAACCCAGGTTGTGGGGCTGGGGAAATGGCTTAGTCAA